TGGATTTTTACTTCTGAGTCACAACTCCCAATGAAACCTTTCATTGTATCTGAAGTAGCTTAAAACATGAGCATCAACAGCATCAGCTGATTTAGAAAGCTTTGCCTTTGGTATGAATTAATATCAGTGGTTAATGAGAAATCTGAAAGAAGAATCAATATGCATTATGTACTGGTACAAATTCCCTATGATGGACGTGATTCTTATGTATATCTAAAATGTACAAGCAAAATTAATTGAAAAAAACAAGAAATTTGAACAAACTCCAACCCAGCACCTTCTAAATTTATTTTAATCCTGCACTCTAGCTGTGGGATATGCCTGCAGGAGACATTTGTGAAATCTGTGTGCTGAAAACCAAAGTCAGGCTTGTTGGAAGAAATGTACATCACAGGTTTGAAATGTCCCCAGGGCATGTGTGGCCAAGTTGAAATCAGCCTTCTTCTTATAACCATCACTATTTTACCTGTTTTGCCTCTGAGGAATCATGGAAACCTATTCATAAATTCCCACCTGCACTGGCAAGATGCTAATGCAACTTTGGAGTCATGATGGCTGGTGGGTGGGTTTGAGGGAAGAAACACAGTGGCAGCCTGCAAAAGTACCCTTCCCTGGTTTTTTTGCTTTGTTTTGTTTTGTTTTGTTTTTGGAGGATCAAAAGATTCTTCTTGCAGGCATGCTACAAGCTTCTTGCTAAATCTGATGTTGAGGAGGGACTAAGTTATTACTATTATTATTTAGTTCTAAAGACCAACTGGAAAAAAAAAACTGGTCCCTCTCAACACCACCATTTCATTCTCGCAGCTTCCACACTGCCCCTAAAACATATCCTGTGTTTTTAGACAGTTTCAGTTTTTTCCACTGAACAAGAAATTCAACTCATTACCAACTTCCTATGAAGCCCTGAACCACAGGGTGTAACTAAACAAAACCCATGACACATAGATCAAGGGGCCTAATTTTGGTTGGTGTTTGCCTTTATGACTGTATCCATTTGGGATGTGAGTTCTTTGTGTCCCAAGAAACATAGGCACTTGTTCCTTAGAGTTTATAAACACCTCCTTAATACCAATGGTATAATATTCTGTTGGGTCTCCTGAAGAGATTTCAGCATAGCCAGCATAGATTCATTACAAGAAGGTGGCTATGCCTCGGGAACCTACTTCCAAATCCATTTCAGTCTGTCTGAGGTCTAATGGCCTTGATTTTCACTGCACTCAGAATTGGTCTCAACCAAAAGAAAGGTGATAAGTTAGGGGCAAAGAAGGCACATGTGCCTTGAGTAAGTAAATGGTCCTGGAAGCCTGTGAACAGGGAGAAATGACATGGCGTTCCAAAGCAAAAGGACCTCAGGGAGAAGGAGAAAAGAAGGCGTTTGTTGTTCTACACGTTTCTCCTCTCCCTCCATTAAATATGGCTTCTGAAATGTAAAGAACTATTATAAGGCCTGAGGAATCATAATTGTGGTTCAGAAAAAGACAAGTCGATGGTTCTTCAGAGAAATGCAGTGTTTATGAGGGGTTCCTCATAAAACCTGTGGTTACATTGTGGGGAGAGATCTTTCCCGATAGCAGTTATCATGTGAGAAAAAAACTTATTTGGGTGTTCCTCCCCACCCCAAAAAATCTAAGACAGCAATAAATCCTATATTTATTTCCAACAGTAAATATTATATGCTCATTTTTACCTATATCAATGTGAGCATACATCTAACTGAGAAAATACTGATAAAATAACCCCTTTGAAATCTGAACACCCTGGTTTTCATGGTGAAAATTTATAGCATGATTTAAGAAACTAACACCCTATTTACCTTACTGTGTGGCTACTGGAAGCGTATGAATTAACACTTGTCAAAGATGTTGCTTAGCAATTAGGAACTTAAATCTGAAAATACAATCTTGAGATCTTAATCTAGGACAACATTGGACCAAACATCTACATTTCTAGCAAAAATTTTCCAACTTAATAGTGTTTTCAAAACTAAACAGAGTACTGGTAACCCATATAAAGGTTTCCAGGGAAAAAAGAGACAGTAAAAATGTAAATAAGCAATTAATCTTAAGAACACTAGAAATTGCTTTAAAATTAGAAGAAAATGACAGCATGTGCCAAAAAAACTCATGATTTTTCCTGCCATTTTTAAGGACTAAATTCTCTCTTACTTTAAAACCTTGTCTAGGGATATAATATTAAATTTATAAGTATTTCTCTATATAACATACAAATAAAAGATATTTGCTCTAAAAACGTTGGCCTTAATGAGCTACTATGTAAATTCTAGAAAGGTCAGAAATATTTATATCCAAAGACCACAGCCAGAAAGGAGTTTTTTTTCCCCCTATAAAAAGCACATGGGCTTCAAATGCAATTTTTATCAGCACAAGATAATAGAAAGTTCATATGTCAAAAATATATAGAAAGCATCATGGTAAAATAAAAACAAAAGAAAAATAAGCTGTCTGATTCACATAACTAAGATGGAAGAAATCCTTCCTACTGTTTTTTCATTTGGGGGAATCCCAAGCCATCAAATACTTTGTTTACCTGAATTTTACTTCTGAAACTCTCTCCTATATAAGAATTTCTGGAGTTTGCCTTTCTTGTCTTCTTTTTTCCATCTTTTTTTTTTTTTTAATTCAGCATGGTTTTCCTTTGCAAACAGGCAACTACAAGGTAGCTGTTTCTGTTGATCATGGCTAATTATTTTTATCATGCCCTTCCAGAGACCTGCATTTCGCTTTCTAAACAGGCAGGAAACAAATCTCACATACAAATAATCTGTCCACTGGGGATGAAGCAAGAGTAACAGTTGTAGTCCTCTCTAGGGAAGCAGGCAAGGCCAAGGCCCAGGACATGCTGCATGCATTCCACTTACCTCCACAGAATGACGACCATCACTGCCAAGGAACTGCTCAGACATACAGTTTTCCTCTGTATTTATGGTCTTTTAAGATGTGAAGATGGTTTTTAATTTTATTGCTGAAATTTTATTGAGAAAAGACCCACATGGTATAATACAAAATGATACACTCATGGAACAGACTCCCGTCCTTCCTTCACTGTCTATTTTATCCACAAATGTTAAGCAAAAGTGGAAACCTAAGATTAAACATCTGTGCACAGTACTGGGTGCAAAATAAGACATCCAGTAACTACTTATCCAGCTTCATCCAAATTCCTGACATCCACACCAAACGCACCATTAACACAGGCAACTAGCAGGTGACTACAGAGCTCTGTGGAGGTGAACGAAGAAGGATATAGCAGAAATTTAGATTCCTTCTTTTAACCAAAATCATCACTGTGAATTCTGGTGAACATCATGTATGCATGTTTTATATTTATCACTTCTGGGGCCGGGGATTTAGCTCAATGGTTCCACCGCCTGCCTCACAAGCACAAGGACCGGAGTTCAATCCCCAGTACCAAAAAAAAAATTTATCCTTTCTGTGCCTGCCATCAAATTCTCACCCTCTATTAAGTTGCTTTTGAGGGAAATAAGCTACCTCCCTTCATAAAACTTTGCATAATTCTAGTGACTTTTCACTCCCCATCTTGAGACTCATCATTTGACCAGAATTAGAGGGGCTAGAAACCTAAAGTAATTTGCATTTAAAACAGTTAAAAATGCAAAAACTGTTTAAATCTATGTAATCCTATAGAGTTCATAATCTGAGCACATTTATAGATCTCTATAATTAAAGCCGCAAATGGTGTTTGGCTACAACCAAGGGGAAGAGAGAAACAAGGAGAAAAAGAGAAGCATCTTTCAAGGTTATTTGTTCATTGTACATTTTATCCATGCTTTTAAAATATGTGAAATTTAATCTTCGAAATGAAAAAATAGAGACATTTTCTAATACCAAAATATAAGATTAAAATATTGAAAAGTAAAATGTTAGTATGACAGAGGGCTTCTTTTTATATCAAAGACAAACATCTCAGCTTGCTTTTCTTATATAAAGTCTCCCACCCCCCTCACTAATATTTACATCTTCCCAGAGTAGCTTTTACGAGATCCTGAAGAAGAGACAAGGAGGATCCTTTCTTGAGGTCTGAAATCACACCTGAGTGCAGATGTGAAACAGAGCACTTCCCAACCACAAACTTGCCCACCGGCTTCAGGCAGCAATGCTAATTTCAAATACTGGGAATTTTCTTAACATTTTCCCCTTATTGGGTGCTAAGTTCTTTCCAAGAATATTCTACTTGTTAAAATGATTTTATTCTAACTACAAAACATTACATTTTTAAAAACACACTTTTCATATCCATGTGTGAGATGCCCCCAAAAGTCTCAAAGATACGGAGACATCAGACTGTTTAAACATAAATCTAATTATATAGCCCTCAAGTACTACAAATGTCGAACACAATAACATTATGTCCTATATTTGTTTGTCATGAGATGAAAGGCTGGGAGGCAGATGGTGATTAATAATAGTTCCTGAGCTTCTAAAGAAATATTAAAATGAAATGACTAACTGCTGAAAAGAATGAATTCTTAAGTCACACCCCTTTTGTTCCATTGATGACTTTTATCCCATCTATCTCCTTAAGGAATCTCAAGCAGAAAAAAAAAAAAAAAAAAAAAAAAAAAAAAAAAAAA